GGATACTAAGGGCCTAGTTGAGTATCTGTTTCAAAACAGAGAGGTGCGTTGTAGCTGTTTAATCTAATAGCAACAGACCATGACGATGAGGCATGCTCTATGCACTGATCTGTGATGGAATGGGAACAAGATAAAGTAAGTAAGTTAAGTTTAAGTCATAAGGTGAGAAAGAGGGAGAATGTTAGTTTGATCTCCACCAATTAGCCGGGCCCTTAGATCAGCGCCCTGATCGGGGGCGCCCAACCACTCCATGGTTAGAGGGCCCCCGTCGCACCGCACTATAGAGGAAGGTGGGGGCAGGGGCTCTATCTACGAGGTTGACCTGAGTCGTCGTGACCCACCTACAGAGAAATCCTAATCCGATCTAAAGAGAACGTGCTGCCAGCGATGGGAAGCCGCCACCGACTCCACCGTCGCCTCCGCATCGCCAGCACCGTGCCTACGCTACAACGACACCGGCGTCCACGTTGCTGCGGTGCTATGGACCTAACTGTGCTAGGGCGAGGTACAGAAACACGTCTTCCATCCAAGTCTAGATTATCCCCTGATCTATGTTTTAGAGGTACTATGATCCTATCATTCCAGAGTCCTGCTGCTCAACAATCATCATAAAGATCAAGTTCAGCACCAAAGAGAAGTACAAAACCTCCAATGCAATCTCTAACTGAACCACAGAAGATGGAAGCACCTCTGGCACTGAGGACGAGAGGGCGGCCGATGAGTTACCCATAGAAAAATGACAAATCTTTTAGTTCTTTCTTTCTTTCTTTTTGTGAACTTTTTCTATTTTTAATATACACTTCTCTATTTCAAGTTATAAGTTGTTTTGATTTTCTTGGAACATAGTTTTTACAATGTATCTAGACATATACAGTGTATATATCTAGACGCATAATAAAAACTATGTACCTAGAAAAGTCAAAACGACTTAGAATTAACTAGTAGAGTAGGGTACTTTGTTGCTCCTCATGTTCCTCTCAATGAAAGAAAATGAAGAATCAGCATTCTTGAGTGCTTGGCTAATTTGGAACATGCATGGTTGCAGCTGAAATCAGCCAACAGCAAACACAAATCCTGTGGGCTGCTGCTCAGTGCTCACTGTGTCTACCAGCACCTGGGTGCAGCGTACATACCGGATCCAGGCATGGGGCCACGGGCTGTGCCGGGGTCAAGAACTGCATGCATGTGTACTACTGCTAGCTGAGGATGTTGATCGATCATATCCACTCGCCTCCTGAGTCCTGATGCCTACCCCTCTCCCGCGAGTGGTCACACTGCTGCTTGCTACCAGAGTACTGGTAGTCGTCCTGTTCGCTTGGCTTATAAGCTGTACTTTTTCTCACAATAAATCAGTCAACGGTACTTTCAGTCATGCCTTATCAGCCAAGCGAACAGGGCAAGTACGAGTAGCTGTATTTTTCATAGTGATGCGTATATGACGAGTTGCATTGGTGGCCAAGGATCGAGATGTGATCGCCCTCTGCCTCTGATGCAGCCATCGTACTTACAAGAGGGTCTGTTTGGACTGAGGCCTGTCAGTCAAGCCAATATGCAAGTAATCATAGCTTCAGACATCTAAAATCGAACATATATATATGGGTTATCTGGTCCATCTAGACAGATTTTCCAAACAACGATCCAAGCAGTGACCCGCGGTGCATGACACCACAGAGATCGACACTGTGCTAGCTAGCGGTGTGTGTCTGTGACCCTGTGTGATGACCACGGCGCCGGCCGCTGTCGTCGTCGTCGCCGGAAAAACGGCCGGGGAGACCGCATCCACGTCGTGGTCATGCATGCCCGGCCGTGTTCGCGCAGCCGGCCAGTAGTCGACCGATCAAGTGAAGCAAAATAAAGAGTATACGTACGTAGTACCAATAAGTAGAGATCGGATCAATCGCCGTGTCCTGTCCTGGTAGGAGGTTAGTACTCCGTAGTAGCTGACTAGCTGTGTTCCTGATCGAGTTAAGTAGAAGGTGCGTGTGGTTTCATGCATGGCGACAGCAGCCTATATTCCAAGTTGCCAAATGGACGAATTGAAGGACGGCCGAATTAAGGTTAGATGTGCATGCATGCATGCCTGCCTGCCAGCCATTGAATCTTGCTGCTCTAGAAGGTTCCATGTGTGTGTGTGAAGCTAAAAAGACATATACTCACATACAAAGTTGTTTGTGAAAACATAATGGTGGTCCTGGAAGCTAAAGAGACACACAAAGTTGTTGCGTTCCTGGTGCAGTGCTTCTCGATCGTTGCCTGCTCTTTTGTCAATTCAACGAGCATAAGGTTACGTTACGTGTCTCGATCTGTAAGTAGTCCCACCAATGCAAAACCGTGGGCTGCCTCTGTGCCTGCCCGGCCCACTTGCCATCAGTCTATCTGTACGACGAATCATTGAATCCATAATACTAGATACATACGTAGATGCCACTAGTGGTGCAGTACTGCCAGCACAACACATTGGTGGTAGACCTGCAGCTACTGCCGCACCAAACAAGCTGTTACTACAGTACTCATCTCATCGAGGCTACATGGCCTCCAGCCAGCAAAAACGACGTGCAGGATGGTGGTGGTGGGCCTCAGTTGTGCCTCTTTATAGCAAAATAAAGCCCATAATTTTAGGCCCAGTGGACTCCCAGGGACTATTCAAAATATGGCCGACATCTGGTGTGCGGGAATTCGCTCGGTGTCGCGAGATGCCAAGAGGTAGACCCAGAGACCACACGATGCGGGATCAGCGACTCCGCCGGCGAGCTGCGGCACGCGACGCTCCCTATCTCTCTTCCACTCGGGCTGATCAAGGGACTGCCCTGCGCGTAGTAGCTGTCCAGCCTTGATTGGGACGAGACCTAGAGTTTGGAACTTGGGGAAGCTGATCTCAACGGCAATGGCGGAAGTTTTAGTCGTGAAGTTGAAGGATAAGAAGAAGAAGGCGAAAGTGCAAGGTAGCAGCGGTGGAGTTCTTTTTTCGGTGGACTCCGAGGAGGGAGCCCGCTCGACGCTATGAATTGTCTCAGCTGGAGCTGTTGCGGATTGGGCAGCGCTGTGACAGTGAAAGAGCTTTGTGAGTTAGCGAAGAAAGTTGCCCCTATCGTGCTTTGTGTCCTTGAAAGTCAGGTCCACTGAGCACGGGTGAAAGGTGCCCTAGGTTTCGACAATGATTTCGTTGTAAGTAGCTCAGGGCGCAGTGGTGGCCTTGGATATTTTTTGGAACAACAATACCAGGGTTGAATGGTTACCGTACTCTCAATATCACATTGATACTATTATTACAGAGAGTGTGGGTGAGACGTGGTGTTTGATGTGTGTCTATGTGTCTATGGTTAGGCGTAGGTTCCAGAACGCCACAAGACATGGGAATGTTGAAGTTCATTAAGGCTTCATCTTATCTGCCATGGATGTGCATTGGAGATTTCGACGAAGTCCTCCTTCAATCGGAACATGAAGGAGTACTGGAGCGCAGCCGAAGCCAGATTGCTGGTTTTCAGGAGATGGTAGACGTCTGTGGTGGTGGAACTAGGGTTCGAAGGTCGCAGGTGGACCTATGAAAAGAAAGTGGTTGGTGGTTCCTACTGTCGAGTTTGGTTGGACCTTGCGTTGGTGTGTGCTAAGTGGAGCGCTAGATTTCCGCTAGCCTACGTCCGGCATTTGACCTCGGTGGTGTCTGACCATAGGCCTATTGAGCTGCGAGGGGAGGCCAGACCACAAAATTCATCGGGCAGACAAGGTAAAAAGGCCTTTTCGGTATGATCTAATTTGGGAGCGACACTCTGATTTCAGGAACGTGCTTGCACAAGCCTAGACTGACCATCGGGGCAGACTCATGGCTGATTAAGGGGAATCCAATTGTAGCTATCAAACACTTTTACCTATTTTCTCTCTCTTAGAACATGTCCATCGGTACCTAGTACCTCTTCTATTTGCATAAAATTGTAATATTAGGGTAATTATGGTTCTTTTTTCTACAGTTGTCCTCAATATCTCACCTTTTTTTGTTGGTCAACAACATTTTCCTTGCCTCCCTTTAAATAATAGGGAGTCGCATCTCTCCCAATAACATGGAGACCACCCCAACGATCTCAGCCATTTTTTCATACACACCCATGGGCCCCACAACTTATATGAGTATTGGGATATATATAGAACTACTGTTCTGCAGCTGGCCATAGAATAACTTATTATGTGGCCACTTTGAGTTAATAATTACTATGCTAATTTATGAGATTTCAGTAACTCCTTACTAAGTGATTTACTATAACATTATCGTAAATATCACCGTGAGTTGTAGTAACACGAGTATCGTAAATGCATATTCATGTTATCGTAAATTGGTACAAATATTATCGTAAATCAAGGTGGCTATAGAATAAGTTATTCTATAGCCAGCTGCAGAATAGCCTTACCCTCCCTCCCTCCCTCCCTCCCTCTCTCTCTCTCTCTCTCTCTCTCTCTCTCTCTATATATATATATATATATATATATATATATATATATATATATAGTTGAGATGTTCTTTTTATGTATTTTATCTTTTAAACCCTAGTTATTTCCCAACATCATGTGATGTTCTTCTCTTGTCTCTATGGCATGATAAGGTGTCCTAATTGGTCTACCAAGTCTAGGGCATCGTATGCACTTATCCCAATAAGGTCTCTTTTGGTCAATTGTTTGATGGATCGATGGAATAGAAATGTGTATATTTGGAGATCCAATTAAAGAGGTTATTGAAGGTTAATTTTCAGGACCTAAAGAGTCTCTTGAGGTTGCTTGAAAAAGGTTTTCATTTATTCCAGGACCCCACCCGCCAGCTAACACATTCTCCGGTTTAGCGCTCATGCAGCAGGAGGCCCCGTCACGGTGGGCCAGGCCAAAGCCCACGTAACTAGAGGCCCAATTATCCATCCACCAGCCTTGCCCACTGCAGCCCACTTCCACAGTTCCTCGTGAAAGTCATTAATGCTTTAAACCCTCTAGAACCCGTCTCTTGCGTGAGCGCGGCCGCCATGCTCCCACAGAGACAGAGGTCGCCGGAGCCGGACCATCGTCTCCCAATCCCAACCCAGCCCGCACACCCAAACCAAACTCGGCTTCCGACTGGGCCGCGATCTCCTCAAGCTCCACCGCGCGGCGCCGGCCACCGCCTCCCGTCCCTGGAGCCGTCGCTTTACGCGGGCCTCCTCCGGCGCGCGTCGCGGGGCCGGTCGCTGCCGCTGGCCAGGCTCACCCACTCCCACATGATCCGCGCGGGGTACCGGCCGGGCCTGTTCCTGAGCAACAACCTGCTGGCCGCCTACGTCCGCTGCGCCGACACGCGGAGCGCCCGACTCCTGTTCGACGGGATGCCGCGCCGGGACGTCGTCACCTGGAACACGCTCATCGCCGGGTACTCCACCCAGGGCTCCCAGCGCTTGGCGCTCGGCGCGTTCCGGGACGCGCGGCGGGATGGCGCCGTCGCCGTGGATAGGTTCACCTACGCCGCGGTGCTGGCCGCGTGCTGTGGCGCCGGGGACTGGAGGAGCGGACGCGCCGCGCACGGGCTGGCTGTGGTCAGCGGGCTCGCGCGGACCGCGTTCGTGGCCAACTCGGTGATTGACATGTACGCCAAGTGCGGGATGATTGACGAGGTGAGGCTGGCGTTTGATCGAGCCGAGGAGCGGGATGAGGTTTCGTGGAACCTGCTCTTGTCCGCGTATGTGCGGATGGGATGGCCAGAGGTCGCGGTGAATGTGCTTGTCTGGATGCACCGGTCAGGGGTGAAGCTCGATGCTTTTGCCCTGGGTGGGATCCTGAAGGCTTGTTCTGAGCTCGAGGATTCAGAGGATGTACGGAGGATGCTTCACGGTTGTGTGATTAAGGTTGGTTTGGACTTGGATGTGTTTGTTGGGAGCACCATGGTGGACATGTATGCTAAGAACGGTGGATTGGAGGAGGCCATCAAGGTGTTTGGTAGCATTCCAAGCCAGAATGTGGTAATTTACAATACCATGATAGCAGGGTTTGCTCGGTTAGGTAACGATCCCTGTCCTGAGATTAGAATGGAAGCAGTCAGGATTTATTCAAACATGTTGCGGAGGAGGATTAGACCGTCCAAATTTACATTCAAGAGCGTGCTTGAAGTGTGCAATTTGACCAATGCGGTACGATGTTGGAGGCAGATACATGCCCATGTTATACTCTTTGGGTTCGAAGATGATGAGTTCATTGGAAATGCACTGATTAATTTGTATTCAAAAGTACGTCTAGTTGATGATAGTCTGAGATGCTTCCATAGGACTCCCAAGCAAAACATTCTTACATGGACTTCTATGATTACAGCATTTGTGCACAATGAACATTCTGATAAGGCACTAAACTTATTCAGAGAGCTTTGTTATACAGGAGTGGAGCCTGACCAATTCACCATGTCAAGTGTGATGAATGCCTGTGCTGATCTGAGTATGCCAATAGCATGTGAACAAATACACTGTTATGCAGTCAAATCTGGATTCGATCAGTTTACTCTTTGCGGCAATTCACAGATCGAGATGTATAGGTGTACAGGTGATCTTAAGGCTACAAAGAAGACATTTGAGCAAATACCATCCCTGGATACTTTCTCGTGGTCTCAAATGATCTTGAGCTATGCAGTGCATGGACATGAAAGAGAGGCTCTACTGCTATTTAAGAAAATGAGGGATTGTAGTGTCATGATAAATGAGTTTGCATTTCTTGCTGTTCTCGTTGCTTGCAGCCATCAGGGACTGATAAATGAAGGTTTCAGGTATGCATTTTTGTTTTCTTCAAGAGTAACATATCACCTGTTTCCTTGTTTTCTTAGATAAGTAGTTGCCTTCCTCCTGCCTACCTGTAACATACTTGTGGTAATTTACAAGGGATTTACATAGTCATCGTCCTACACAAAAATTAAATGCAAGAACAAGGTGGAGATGAGACTTTGAGAATTGTTTATAGAAAATTAGCAATGCCAACAGTAGATGATGGAACGAAATCTTCCTAAAAATAAACTGCCATCGTTCCATATTTTACACCATGAATTCTTCTCCTGCACTAAAAAAATGGCATGCTGCATTAGCTGATATGCATAACCCAAAGAGAAACCTGAGGGTCATCCATAAGGTAGCATCGAGGCATGCATTTAGATTACCAGTTGCAAAAACTTGTAGGATTGACAAACTTGAAGTGACATCACCAGTGCCGGTCCCAAGCCCGGATGTAAAAGGTGGAGGGCTTAAGTTGACATACCTTTTTCTGTTGCTTGTCGCCACTTAGCAGATAATGCTGCTAATCATACTGTAGCCTTGAAGAATTTTAGATGTCTACTAGTTGGCATGTAGTCCTAATTGCAGAATTTACTATACAACTACACAGCAAAATGGATGCATCTTCCATTTCCTTTTTTACTTATTTCCCACTTCTGAACATTGTTTATAACTGATCACATGTTTTTTTCTATTGTAATGCAGGCATTATGAGAGCATGGTGTCAGATTACAGCTTTGTCCCGGATGTGAAGTATATAGGTTGCATGGTTGACCTCCTAGGCCATGTTGGGAAGGTGGCTGATGCTGAAGATTTTATAAATAGTTCTGGATTAGAAAATGATGCGGTACTTTGGCATATACTATTGCGTGCCTGCAGAATCCATGGGGACAAAGATAGAGGTATAAAAATAGGAGAAAAGCTAATGATGCTTGAGCCTTTTGCTGCTAGTTCCTATGTCATGCTGTACAACTTGTACATGGATGCTGGGAAAATCTCACTTGCTATGAGGACAAGAGGCCAGATGAGAGAGCGAGGAATGACTAAGGAGTCTGGGATTAGTTGGGAAGAATTTGGAGGATCCTGCCATCATTTTGTCGATGGAGATAACTCTTGCTCACAGAAAGATTCAACTTTCACAAGATTGGAAGAGTTGTTGGTCAGGGTGAAACAGAAGACTGAACGAGGCAGCATGAATGTTTGGGAGTTAGGATTCCAAAGCAGAAAGGTCAGTGAGAACTCAATCAGCAAACATGGTGAGTTGTTAGCAGTGGCTCTTGGGTTGTCTACTTTGCCAAACACTGCTCCTGTAAGAGTTATGAAGAACCAGAAGATGTCCTGGGAAAGCCATGAGACACTGAAGTTGCTATCTGAAAGTGAAAACAGGGAAATAATTATCAGAGATCCAGCTCGCTTTCATCATTTTAGTCAAGGTTCATGCTCTTGCCGAGGCTACTGGTAGTCAGAAGCCATATATGTCTACTCTGGAGTAATATTCTGAGAAGTGTCACTGGAACAGCTTCACCATTCTCACAGGTGAAGTTTGCAAGTAGCGGCTGACATTTAGTGGAACCATACATACATGCAAGTAATTCAAAACTGTCTATATTTTATTTTTGAACAAGTTTAAGGGTTCTTACTTTTCAGAATGTCAATGCTGGTATACATTGCACCTGTTATAGTCTGTACTCTACTCAAAATTTCTCACTCAGGCCTACGATGATTTAGGTTTTCAGTTTGTACTAACTATCCAAATGTCAAGGCTAGACTATTTCATTGCCTACTCATCTGCAAAAGTTATACAGAGGACTCTTCAGTGCTTTGCTGTGCATGCAAGTACATGCTATCACCCTAGTTGTATAACACTATACAGGAGAGGAAGAATTAATAGAACTATATTATCTAAAGGGGGAAAAAATCTGTGCTGAAGATGTAGAGAAGTCTTAGATGTTTCTCAATCTTGATTCTTGCCTATTCATACCAGTTATGCATTGTGATGTGATATTAACATGCTTTTGCTGGAACACTTTAGTTATGTGCTAATGATGTAGACAAATCATTTTTTTTCTGTTGGTACTAGCAGATATATCTCATTGAGAAACTATTTGTCCATAACAAAGCAGTATGATGATCATTGTAACCTGTTTGCAATTTGGTATCAACTATGCATTGTCTCTGTTGATCTAAATACTGCATCTTTGTAATACCTGCTGAATTATATCTTAAGAAAAGAACTCTTGCAGATATAGCTATATTATTGCCTACTCATAGCAGCTTATAAGTAATTGGAGTACTCAAACACCCTAGTTGTCACGAAGTTGTAATAATGTATATCTGAGTTTCATCTTGCTGGATACAAACTTTGAGCAATAATACATAATTGTTAGTTCTCTCTTAAGGATATGAGATTACGAAATTGAATAAAGTGTGCTCCTAAGGTTGTATTATTATATAATGGAACTGTGTTCTCAAACATATGTTACTCCTAAGTTGCAGCTAGCCATTCCCCTAATTCTTAATTTTACATTATATTTAACTCTCTGCTTTTGTATTCAGAAGTTTACTGGGTAGCATTTTTTTTATGAAATGTATATAAGTAACCATTCCCATAGTACCCAAACACAGAGATTACTGTTGACTTAAAATTTATTTTTCTTCTGTTTTACAGGGCTTGAGACGTTTTAGTTTAATGTGTCTGTATCTTTCCTTATCGATTTTCAATACATCATTGATACTGAATTCACAGTACTTAGATGATATGAAATTATATTGGCTAACCTGTGAACTAACATATTTAATGATATTATAAAACCATAGAAAATTATATTTTTCAAGAGTAAATAGTTTATGGCTCAAACCCTCAGGTAATTGATTAATTTTTCTCAATCAGAACATAATGCGTCTCCAGTTCTGTTCCTGTTGCCAACATTGATCATTGCTTCATAGAGATGAACAGGATATTTACTGTAATATGTATCATATGTTCTAGGCGTAGAGAGAAGAGCAATCAAGACTGATAAAGGTATGTTTCTATCACATACTAATACATATATGAAATTGCTGTACTGACTTTTGATAAGTTTAATTGTTGTGTGTTGAGTATATAGAATGTTGACAGTGCGTATTTGCTTCACTGTTTTAAAGGGTTCCTCTTCACAGTCTCAACTTGTTGGGTGAAATAATCACACTAACAACAAGTTTGAACACAAGCATAAAGTTGTATTCATTTTCCTCCTTACATGTCAGAGGGGGTATTTATAGAGGTCCTAGTCTTCGTAAATTGTATACAAATGACCAATTTGCCCCTCTTTCTAATCAATACAACCCCTTTAAACTACAGGGGTAAAGTTGTCTTTTCATCTTCGAGAGTTCATTCTTCATGCCCTTTTGTCAATCTTCAAAGTCATTTTCTTCGGGGGTGTCTTCGCGCCCCCGAACTTGAATGTTTCTCATCGTGAATCTTCTGGACTTCGCATGTTGAGCGAAGTCTTCATTCTTCATGTCGCTTGGGCAAAATTGTTGGGTTTCAAGTGAAGCCCAAAGTCTTTTTGCTTGTTCTGAGTGAAGTCGATTTTCCAACTTCGCTTTGAAGTCCTGAAAACAAACTTTTGTATAGAAGTTAGTTGTTCAACTCTAAAATTTCAGGGCTTCATTTTTCTCAACGAAGTCAAGGTGTAGTCTTCGCCTATTAGTCCTGCAAACAAACTTTGTATGAAAGTTAGTTTTCCAGTTCCAAGTTTCCGGATAAAGTTTTCTAGCGAAGTCAAATCCCCAACACAACTCAAACAGGATATACAACATATGGAGATTGATAGCCAGGGTAAAAATATGTATACATTTTCTTCCTTTGTTCATAAGTCATTATATAGTATACAATAACTGATTACTAATAAGTGATATCTCAACCTGTAATTCAGGGTATTGGATGAAAACAAGAACACGGGACTTTGACGATGAGCACTAGGTCAAAACAATTGGCTCTTGTCTGTTTACTTCCAATCTAAAGCCACCTCAACTCCTAGGCTACCTCTCACTCAGAGTCACAGGATATCGACAACATAAGTGATAATGCGCCTTTGAAAACATCTAAGAGATCTCGCGTACAGGGAAAAAAATATAGGTGATTAAAGAACTACTCTTGTATTTACAGGAAACATCCTATAATACATCAGCATCTTGTCTTTTCTGTATCTACCTTTTTTTCCCCCTAACACTTTATATGTCCCTTCAGGCTGTGCAACCCTGTCCTTTATAGCTTGCATGGCTTGGGTGTTTGAGCAAGTAATTTGTAAGTAAAATCTGATAATTTAGATGGGTTATCATTATTTCTCCTGATGAGCCGAGGCTTTGCCCAAACATTCTTCGAAATTTACTAGAACATTATCTAGCTGAGAAGAAAATTTACTTTTATTTTTACAGGAGCACCATAGGGGTACAATTCCAAGACTTAATATGGGACTCCAATATAACTAGGAGTGCTTTTGAGTGGAGATAAACCTAAAGACTACATGGCTGTGATCTACCACTACTGTCAAAAAGTAGACAAAAAAACTACACGCTCAGCCTTTTGTAATCCATAAGCAGATGGAAGTAGATATGAAGTCTGCTTTTCATGTATTCTATTCTCTCTATATATGCTGTAGATTATACTGGAGCTAAGACACTCAAATCATAAACTCCAACGCATTCACCTGCGTGAGCGTTGCCTGATGGATGCATTGCCTGACGGAGTGACGGCACATCCTGCAGATGCATTGGATTGAGAATGTAATCAATGATCAGAGGCTCTTCTTTTCATAAATTCTTGCAGTACTAGCTGATCTTTTATCATCCCTAACACCACCACCGCCACTAGAGAACTACAAGTTTCTATGGGTCGTTACACAGGATGCACTAATGAGTTCACGGCTCGTATGTGAGCAGTTCCTGTGGCCAGCAGCTTTGCCAGATCAACATAAGCAGCAACGCCTCCTTCTCTGGTTCTTGTCCTAAGTCTCAATTCTCAAATCATACTGTGCGCACATCAATGATTAAAAAAACACAGCATAAAATGCTGGTCGCACCTTTGCTAAGTCCAGATATCATGGAACAACGAATTCTTAACTGGGATGTGCCATTGAGATGCTTAATAATTTATTCTGAATTCGAAGAGATCATTAAATTCCTGAAAAAGGTGAAAGAGGACAAACCACCGTTCGTCCACAAAATTCATAAACGCCAACTGAACCTAGGACCAGATCAAACATCAGGAAGCATGTTCAATCTCAAGAATGAGCAAGCCACTTGTTTGGAGATCTGACTCACAATAGGTGCAGCAAAGCTGCGCCCAGTTTTTTTTCCCCCTTAGGCCTTGTTTGGATGCATGTGTATTCACTTTAATTTCCATGTGTTGGAGTGGAATGGAATGGAATTTAATTTAATTTCACTCCAATCCATTTCAACATATGTGAATTGAGATGAATACATGCGCATCCAAACAAGACCTTAGTGAGTCATTAGAATCGGTTCAGTGTTCATAATTCTGGGATGCATTAAGCGAAGCCTTCCCAATATCCACATTAGCAAACATGTTACAAACACTTATACAAATACAGAGTCAGAACAGGTGATGTTTTTTATCCACTTCTGTGAAACTACACATGAAAAAAATATCTACCACACGCACGCACACACAAGGACAAACATAAAAACAGGTGAGGACATCAGTGAAATCAATCAACCATGGGGAGCAATTCCTCTCCAGTCAAGTCAAACTCCTGCACTATGTTACCACCACCATGTGTCATGTCATTGTCTCTGTACCCATCTCTGTCATGACACTACTTCATGGAGTAAGAATCTACCAGGCCGAACGATCTCCGATCAGCCCGTGGGACTAGTGTGAAATTCATCCCAAACATCTCCTTGAGGGCCTGCTCAGGCTCTAGAAGGTCGATCAGCCTCGCGACAAGAGACGCGCTCTCCCTGACATGCTCCATGTCAGTCTGTGTCCATATGAGGCGGGAGAGCTGTAACCTTCGCTGTTTGGTGCTCAGATCAATTCCCCATTTGCCGTAAATGCTCTCTTTCTCCCCGTTGGAGAGCTTCTTCAGCATCTGCTTGTAGAGCATGACCCTTTCTCGGCGAAGATTCTTCAAGCTGTCAATAGAATAAGTTCAAGTATCCGCCACATATTATAGGGTTTAAATGCTATGCAAAAAAGCTAAGGGTTGATTTGATAGTTGTAATGTACAAGAAAGTATGTACCTTGATGCAATGGCAGGATTAAGTTCCCCTTCTGCTGCAGGTTGTGCACCTAATGAACTCTTAATGAAAGACAGTCTCCTGTGCTCCACTTCCCTGTATATGTTATCTGCTGGATCTCCCTTGAAGAGGAGGAAAAAGTAAGTTCTGTGCACGATGGACACGTTGCAATCATGCCACAACTCGATAATTTGTTGCTGTTTTTTCTCAAAATCAACTGTCGGATGAGAAGGAGATTCAAAGGGGCTCAGTGCTGAATCTACACCAACGTCTCTGACAGTTTTTGTGGATGTCTTCTCATCTCTATCGGCCTGCTGCTTGAATTAAATAAACGAAGTTATGAAAAATCAGCTTTGTAAGACGAACCAATCAATATGTTAAGCCAAAAAAAAATCTACAAATCACAATCTTTGAGCTGGTCAGTCAATTCTATTTCTCATGTTTCCATTGTAGGCATGCATAGCAAGAAACGTAGCAGAGTAAACAGCAGGATGCTGATGCCTAGTTTCTAGTACATTATAACCAAAACTGTGAGTGATCCTGGAGGTATCATGAATGGAAAGAAAATCTATGAAGAATCCACTCTTACCATGATTATTTGTGCCTGTAACTCTTCAAGAAGATCTTCATGGTGATCTTCTGTATTCTCTTTCACCTCTGTGACATAACTAATGTCATTGACAGGAATTTCTTGTTCTTCATCGCTGGTGCTCATTTCCTTAGCTACTTCATCACTGGTGCTCATGTCATTGAAAACTTCATCAGATGCTACTTCACAGGAAACCGTGGAGCAGTCAGGTAAACAGTCCTCATTTTGGTAATCATTTTTTTCAGGAATCAACGGGGAGGTTTTGAAGTCCTCATTTTGGCAATCACCATTGTCGTCATACAGGCTTCTCCTGACCTTATCAAGCCTTCTGGGAGCATACCTAAAGATTTCATCAGGTGGTGTCGTGCTAGTATTCTCAAAATCATCAAACCAACTATTGGGAATCACCATGAAGGTAGCCCTGCAGCTTTTACTTCTAGCCAGTGCACGATCCTTAGAGCTCATTATGCACCTCTTGAGGCTCAAACATTCATGAGGGGTTTTGCCAATGTCAAAAGAATGGTTAGCATCGCATGTATATAGTTCGACAACATTTTTTGTAATTCTATCAGATTCACATTGATAAATTTTGGCCGAATCTTCCTCTATCTTTCTTATATTTTCAGCTTGTTGCTCATCTTTGCTGGAATACGATCTGACATGATCTTCTATTTTCTTCGTTATGCTTTTGAGCCCTTGCTGTTCATCAGGTTGCGGGACTGCATCTTTGGAGATCACCTCTACATTAGGTGTTTGGCTCTTGGTATCTTCAGGGAGTAATTGATTGAATTCGTGGCTTCTGCTTCTTACATGCTCATGTATCTCTATGCACTGGACTTCCCTGCAGTGCTCTTCAGAAACTTCTGAGGTAGTTCTTGAAGGTGATTCCTTAATATGGTATGGTTCTATGCCATCAGAGCCATGGTTGCTGGGAGGGTGCCAAGGTGAAATCACCTTTTGATCCCATGTTTGCCGAGGAAGCTCCCTTGTTTCACCGAGGAATGCTGAGTCATTATGATCGCTACTGTAGACATATGATCCATTAAACGATGCATAATCTTGATCTTGAGGAGCAACCCCATAAGCATCTGCAACTGAAAGCGCCTCTTCCGATACATTTCGTGCAAGGGACTCTGATGACCGACTATGCTCATCCTATCAGGAGTAGGTCAATTTGTTAGATGTTGCAATACAGTGATTCTGAAGGGAAGTAAGTATAAGAGAACAAATACCCATCGCTTTGCAGTGTGCTCATTGCCATGGTCATCACCATCACCTTTTAGCAAACAGTTAAGTTGAGACTGAACTGTATCCCTTTCCTCCATCAATTCCTTAAGCTGCTTTTCAAGCTGAAAAAGGATAGACGAGTGCACAGTGCATAAAGACAGGTGGCGCAACAAACAGTGTTCCGAGGACTACAGAATCTTAGAAACGAGGGAATGTACCTTCTTAATCTGCGCATCCTTCTCTTTCAAAGCCTCAGTGTGAGTAGTGCAAACAGTTGAGCCAGGGAATTTCAGTTCATTTTCTAATCTTGCAAGTTCTCTCTGAAGATGCTTCACAAGTGCTTTGTCAGACATCACTACATTAACCTGTGCATTTGTAACAACCTCCTTTGCACAGGTCGCAAACAGAAGGGTGTTTCTGGATTGCTCCATATGAGTGTGAGCAGGGCTCATTGTGCAGATAATGGTTGTTCTAGCATTGCCACCAAGAGAGGACTGTAATATACGGGTCAGTTTTGAATCTCTGTAAGGGATATGGCCATTTCTTCCTTTGCTGCAGCATGACAAATGAAAAGGGTCAAGTAATAAGCAACATTTTAACTTTTTTTTTTGCGAATGATAAGCAACATTTTATCTAAAATGCAAGTGGAAAGGATATATGCAAAATGCAAACTACCAAAAAAAACACTAGAGCAGAAATTCTTTTTTTAAAAAGAGTGAGCAAAACAAACCTGAGTAGACGGACGACCTTTCCCAGTGTAAGCAGACTTCTGTTAATATGGCTGCCTTCTTTTAGCCTCATACCAGCCGAAGCTGTCTGTGATGCACGCTCACTTCCGGCTAGATCAACAAAGTTCTGTCCACACGAAGAATATAAGGCACAGAACTTTCCACACGAAAGAATTATAAATGTAGAATGATATTTTCATACCACACAAGCGACAAGGGTGCTTGAGTTTCCTCTTCCTAAAAACTGCCTAGCAGAACTTTCAATTGTCTGAAATTAACAGATAGATCAAAAAACTTTTATTAAAAGAATAATGTGGAGCATACAGTATTAAAGGGACACTAACCAATCTGAGTATTTGATGGGATCTGGAACTTGTTTCATTCAAAGCAGTTTCTCCAATCTGCCTTTGAGCTGGAGCACGAAAACAATTGAATCAGATAATGTGGGAAAAACACAGGCACCTCTCGTTTGCAGCAAGTTCAGTTCCGCACCTTCACATACAGCAAGAAGATCCCTAAGATGACCATAATCCGTCAAAGTTTCCTCAGTGAGTCTTTCTACAGTAGTCCCTTTCTATTTGACATAACAGCATGAATAGTATTGTAAATAGGAGCATGAAAAACTAGAACAAATTATGGTGAGTTCAAGTAAAGAAGAATAGAGTACCTCTGGATCATCAAGTAGTCTAAGAGGTGTTGGATCATGGTTTAGAAGGTCCCTCACAGCTTCATTGTATATCTCTATGGCCGAAAATTTCAAAATGAACTCTCTTTCAGGATGCTGCAGCATGAAGAGGTTCAAATGCAAAGAAACACTAGTAAATTCACAATAGCGTTCTAGAAAATATAAAGTGAAAAACATGAAGATACCTTATCTATGTAGTCATAGATGTCAAGCATACTATACTCCGTTATTCCCGTCATTGTATAAGTCTTTCCGCTGCTTGTTTGCCCATAGGCAAATATGCTTGCTGTCAAGAAGAAGAAATGCATGCCAAAACATGTGTTAGCTCACATCGGTTCGTCACCGAAAATGGAAGTGGCAGAACATAGCTGTTTCTCTTGTGCATACAGTTAATTCCACTGACAACTGAAAGAGCAACTTCTTTTGCTCCTTCCTCGTAGACTTGCCGTGTAGAGCAACGGGGGCCAAACACCCTATCTGATGGGGACAAGAAACAAGCACAATGTGAGCAAACAACTGCCAGTAAAATGTCTAAAGAACACCAACTCCTCCTTTTTGTTCCAAAAGAAAACACCAACAATTTAGTGAACACCACTGCAACTGGTAAGTTAAGGTGTCCTGAATTTTGCAAAAAAAAAAAAAAATGAACCGAACTCTGCTGCTGCTACTCACCGTAGGTGTAGGCGGTGGGGAACATGGCGCGCTCGGGGACGGTGCTGCGGAACATGATGGTGGTGGGGCTGATGCACTCCCAGTCGGAGCTGTCCCCAGCTTCCCTGCCGTTGAGCGGCCTGAGGCGGACGGACACCATTATCCTTCCTCCTTGGCCTCCGCCGCCATCTCCTCGCCCGCGGCCCCCATGGCTGGCGCTCCTCTCCTCCCCCTGCACCCTTCCCGAGACAAGAGCAGTGTCGTCAAAGCCTCCCCCTTTCGTTTATACCAGTCTCACCGGCAACCCTCCCCTCCTCCGGGACCAAGCAGCAATGGCATTGCCCGCCCCGAAAGCGACGCTCCCCCGCGGCCGGGGGAAAACGGCAAGTTTGGGACGCGTGCGGTAGGTGCCCCCGCGGCCGAAAGCGGGGTGCCAGCGGGCGCTGGACGGGAGTGGGACGGCGATCCGGCGAGAGACCACACGGGCCGCGCAACAGCAAGGACAAATTGCGCGATAGGCTCCTTCCTGCTCGCACGCACATGCACCGGCATTACCACTACTTTTTGACCACCGGGCCGGCCGGCTAGCTAATTTCCGCGAGAGCATTATATCGGGTCGCCGCCGCCGCCTCCGGGCCGCGCTGGAGCCCTGCGGTGCTGCCGCGACGGACCATGGTCCCCGCCACTCCTCTGGCCGCTTCCTAAAAAAATAATCGTTTTATCTAAGCGCCTCACATGCAGTGGCGGAGCGTGACTCAACATCAGAGCGGGCTAATTTAATTCAGTGCTAAACATTATCCCAATTTCTATGGTAAGCACCACGGCATGTGAATTTATGGAGCATAAACAGTGATTAAAAACTACTTCTATACATAGATCTCAGCCTAGTACTGTAGGAGTAGCAACCAATATACGAGGTTTTAGCCTAGAACTGAATGCAAAAGTGACAAAATGATCTCTGCTCCCTCCGTCCCAGGCCTTGTTTAGATGTCACCCAAATTCCAAGTTTTTTCACTCTCTCTCCATCACAAAATTTTTCATTGCATGGAGTATTAAAAGTAAAAAAAAAATAACTAATTACACGTTTAGTTGGAAATCATGAGATGAATGAATGAATCTAATTGGCCCACGATTGGACAATATTTGCCAAATAAACCGAAATTAAAATTTAGACGAAAAAATTAAGTTTATTTGCACTTCTGCGTTTTGAATGAGAACCTTAGTGCAAGTGCCAAATGACGCTGCTGCCCCTATGAACCCTCTGCAAAAGGCTGACATGCTCCGGCGTGGGTTCTGGAAGCCAGGACGGGGGCTCACTGAGATGAGAACGACCAAATAAAACGGAAGAATTTAGCGATTTTTTATTTTGTTAGTTCCAACATGGTCCACAACTTTCACAGTTACTACGTTTAAAAGACTAGGTCTGAGACCCTATGAACCGATTATTTTGGGAGTCGTCATGACAAAATAAGCAGGTATTATGATTCACAGCCTAGTACTCTCTTACATCCCTAGCCCACTAAACACGCGCCGAGTTGTATAAATAAAAAATAATTAATTGAGCAGGTAAATTATGAATTTCACATGATTAGATAATACTCTCTTCTGAATAAAACATCTCTACCTATCTTCTGCATGCCAAGGCCCTAACATGCCCGTACTCTCTATCGCAGTATCGCCTGCTGTCTTCGTAACTTTGTTGCAGGCCCAGTTTCGCCTCCACTAAGCTCCGCCCCTGCTCACATGCGGGGAGGCCGGACCGCCGGACGGAGGAAGACCAGATGAACCCAGCCAAAGCCATGATTTTTCTTTTCAATGCTCACCAACCACTACTACTAGCAACTGCGCGAGGCTTATCAGCAGAGAAGGAAACCAAGAAGCAGCATTCATTAATTACCTGCGCCGGCGAGAGGTAGGCGCGCTCGTGGGAGCTAGCTAGGCGGCCAATGCGGGAGACGCGCGCGGGGATAGACGGGGGAGGAATGCGGCCGACTAGTGAACGGCGAGCTTGTCGTCTCCTCTGTGGCTCGTCTCTCCCTCTCCTCTCTGCCACTCTGCGAGAAGAGGAGAGGAGGGGGGGAATTGGTAATGGCGTGGCGGTCCTCCTCTGCCTCCGAGGCTCTGAGCTGTGGTGGGAGGCGGAGACGGCAGTTTGGTGATTGAAAATCCAAAAAAAGAAAAATGAGAGGCGTTCTGCTGCGGGTACGGGGCCTTTCTACCCGTAGCAGAAAGGACGCGCCATCGGCCAATCGCGGTCAAGGGAGCGACCGTGGGGCCCGACGAAAGTTCAGGTAGGACCACAGTGTCTATCGGTCATGTGCTGGTCAGTGGTGTCCGTCCCTCACCGTTGAACGGACGGGCGGCGGTCTTGTCTAATCAGATCAGCTCACTGGTCGTTTTTCACGTCTCTATTTTTCGCTCAAATGGCAACACCGCAACACTCTGAATTGAGTCAGTTGGAGTGGTAAAATCTTATGCACTGTGGCCGTGTTTGATCTTTGATACAGCACCGGAAGCTTGTTTGGTCTCATCAGCGGCCAGGAACGTCTAAAATCAATTGCTTAGTAACGTTCATAGTACCGAGCAAAGTTGTCTGGAAATGAAGTAAACACGTCCTAGACCTTTCTTTTACCTGAACAAAACTACCGCGTGTAGTCTATTTACAAGGTGTTTCCTACTCCCTCATACCAAATTGTAAGTCACTCTAACTTTTTTTTTACATCTATCTAGATGCATAATAAAATAGATTTACTAAATTTTTTTTTTAAAACGACTTATAATTTGGAACGGAGGGAGCAAGTAAACTAAATTAGACTGTTGCTTCTTCCACCAAGCCACCAAAATTGAGCGCACGAGTGTTGCTCGTTGAGCTTTCATCATAGCGAGTACTCTATGTTAACCAACCAGGCCTCAGGGGTCAGGGCTCTATTTTTTTTTCCAGGTAACAAGCTTCAAGCAAACAATTACTCTTCCAACTGCTTGACTAGGCAAAATCGAAACCATTCACAGGCAACTCCCCCCCCAAGCAAATGGTCTAGTGTAATGACATCATTCTAAGTGAACTCAATAATTCACGAGGTATGTATCATAATTTATCTAAAAAAAGAGGTATATATCATAATGCTTTTATATATTATTGAGTAATAGCAAAATATCATAGTTTATTATATCAACCAAACATGTGCATAGACATTCTTCATTACAATTTGACAAAAAATGTGAAGCATATAAAATGTAAATACACAACTTATATCATTGAACTAATGACAAAAGTTTAAAACATAACCTATGGCTAAAATCTCACCCACGGTTGGCAGATGTGCATTTTTTTTTGAAAGATCCGGATTTCCGGCATTATATTAATAAGCAAGAATTAGAGTTGCAAGCACATGCGCGAGAGGCGCTAACCCACACAGCAGACAGCCGTGTGGGTTACCAGAAAACCTATGCTAATTACTCATGTTGTTTAGAACAATCCTTGGGAAACTAAGCCCCTGCCTTCCCGCTGAAGCCCAGTCAGAGCATTCGTCCTTGATCCTAGTGAAGACAGATTGTTCCCCACTCGATGATTCGTTGAAAACTCTGGCGTTTCTCTCCTTCCAAATGTGTCAAATAGTTAGTATGGCTAAAGAGTGCGCCTCCTTAGTGCCTCCCGCCGTCATTGCCGTGAACCAGTCCTCCATATCTCCGTGCTCAGTCCAAACAGTAGGCTCAAGGTTTGCACAATTGCTCCACTCTACGACTAGAGTCCAGACTTTCCTTGCGTAAGGTCATTCGATGAAAAGATGAGTGGCGGTCTCAAGGTTCCTTTCACATAGCGCACAGAAGTAATTGTTCTTCCATCCCCTTAACTGTAGCCTGGCTGTTGTCCACACTCGATCTTGCAGGAGCAGCCACATGAAGAATTTGCAGCGTGGTGTGGCCCAAGCTTTCCAGATGAGTCTCGGGAAATTGGAGATGACTTGTCCGCTGAACTGAATTTCGTAAGCCGATCGGGCAGAGTAGGTCCCCGAGCTTCCTAACGTCCAGTTGATCGCTTGGTCGTGTATGGTTTATAAGCCATGGCTTATCAGCCAACAAACAGTATTTTTCTCTTTCACATCAAATCAGCCAACAGTACTTTCAGTCATGACTTATCAGCCAAATAAGCCCAAACGAACAGAGGGCGGTCCTCTCGCTTAGATGTCAGATCAAGCTGCATCGATTGAATGAGCTGCGACAGTAGGAAGAGTTCTCTCAAGATGTCTGCGTTCAGGTCGTGTGCAATGTCCTCAATCCACTTCTCATTCAGCACTGCCTCACGTACCGATCTGTGCTTTCGTCTACTATGCTGGTACAGGCGTGGGAAGAGGAGCGCCGGTGACTGCCCATCGATCCAGCTAGACAGCCAGAACGAGGCTTTCCTTCCATCGCGTACACTCACCCTTGTAGCTGCCGTAAAGAGGACGATGTCTGTCTCGTCGATCGGAAGCTTCATTCCCACCCATGGCCTCTGGTTGCGGATCCACGCCAGCCATAGCCAGGTCCAGGATGCCGAGGCCCCCAACTTGTACTGGTGCAGATGTGCATTATGGTAGGCTTCACACACCCCTTCCCCTGCCCCCTGCCCCCAACCTCCCTATACGTTATTTTGCATCAAGGATTAAAATCAAATCCAATGGATAATGTTCTTTTTTGAAATGAAATGTATAATCAATATTTGGTCATTGCTTGGGTGTGGAGACATATCATCGAGACACCGTGAGAACCTTCTGTAGGTTCGCGATTGGGAGAGGATTCATACCCAGGAGAGCCCTAACTAGTACTCCCAAATTTATGCAATAGTTTTTCCTAAGAGCTCCTAAATTTATGCAATAGTATCATACTTGAATATTTATGCATGGATATGTGTTGTGAATCCACAATAAGTTCTCACGATCTCTCCATGGGTCCATCTAATTTTTTCCATATAACCCCTCATGGTGTCTCATGAGTGATCCATCAGGAGTTCACGGCCAAGATCCTTGACTCATAAGTTGATTCCAAACTTGACGCCTAGACTCCTGTGTCAATTTGTTTTCAATCCTGTGGTACTCGGTTCATTCTAACTTGGGGCTATCTCTGAAATTGGGCTCAAGCTAGGCGGTCACACTTAGGGATGACGAGGAAATTGAAATGAGT